TAGTTAGTACAAGGGGAATTAAAAGGATACAATATTAGCTAGTAAAAAGGGAATTAAAGTGATACAAGAAAAAGGATATAAAGTGTTTGGTTTCTCGGTTGCTTCCTATCAATAAACTGTGCTTACCTGCACAGACAGGCCAGGGCTACCAGGATCTGCAGCGGCTGGTTGGCACTCACCCTTAGCGGGCGTCTTCACGGGGCAACAGTCTCGATGGAAGGATGACCATCGCTCAACCCAGCAGTCCTGACACCCCATTTTATCAGCTCTACATTACACCACGTAGGGCCAGGACGCAGCATAAGGTGATGCTTGAGTGGCAGCCCAACACCGCCTGTTCATTACCTCATGGCAACAGTCTGCGCATGCCCTACTGTCGGGCAAGGGGACGAACGACCCCTGCCTGTATAATCTTCCTCTCTCCATCACCTTCCCCACCCCAATGTATGACCTCTACCATTGTGTTTCAAGGGTATTTGTATTTATCTTGCAGAATGTAACCAAACCAAGGAGGAACTCAGTTATGATAATAAGAGACATCTACTTGACTTTGCTAAAAGTACAACTGGCCTTACAGTCAACTTGTCCAGTAAAGTTACATTGTACAATACTCCGGTTAGTTTCACATGCTAATACAGTCACTTTCTCACCCCTCTATGCTCCTCCACTGATCATCTAAATCAAAAGTATCCCCCTTACACATGGCACCGCAGCCGGTTCCAAGACCAGGGAGGCTCATGGTGGGCCAGAGAGCCACCTGCAGGCCCTGGAAGACCCCACACCGGAGCAGGTGGATGCCTGAAAGGAGACTGTGACCTCCTGGGAAGCTCATGCTGGCTCCTAGCAGGAGCCTGGAGCAGATTTGCTAGCAGGACTTGTGGCCCCGGTAGGGACCCAGGCTGATGATGCAGCCCATGTGTTGGAGAAGTTCATGGAGGACCGTCTCCTGTGGGAGGGACCCCATGCTGGAGCAGGGGAAGATCAGAAACACAACATTGGAGTCATCCTGAAATTTCCCCTTTTTGAGAAAGTCTGAAGTATGTGCTACAATAATGAAGAATGTTAGCCTCAATGAAAAGAATAAATAGCAAAACTGATGTACAGCTGGTTCCCAGGAGACTGTGTTTTACCCTCACGTGGACAGTGTTTTGGAGAGAATCTGTTCCTGTTTTCTCTAAGGCAAGGGCAGGCTTTGAATAGGAGGCAGGCTGGGAGTCTCCCATGGTTTACCATATCCTAATCCCAGCAATCATTAGTAATGAACAGTATTTCTAACCTCTTCAATCCACTGCTTATTTTATGTTTAATGACTACCTTTGAACAACAGAGTTAGACTCTTTAAGTTCCTTTTCAATAATCAATAAGGGAGATAAAATTCCTGTTGATTTGGGCAGTCTTTAAAAGAGGTCATTTAGAAAATGAGTTTTCAATAGTTCCATTCTAGCTATTGGCAAGAGCTCAACAAATAAGCTCAGCTTCAGTTGAGGCTCTAAATGCTTTTGTAGAAACACGGATTTTCAAGGGAATTCAGCACCCCAAATTCCCAGCCTTTCTGAAAATCTGCCTGCTTTCTTGACACCAAAGGACCTGCTGAGCACTTCCTTCAGAGGTGCAAATTCTGAGCCATCTACCGTGAGCAGCAGGAGGCTGTTCACTACATGCGCACAGCCAAAGAGGAAACAAACAATTTCCTGAAGGGGAAGTCCTTTTAAGGAACGATTTTGCATTTCCTCCTTCTATTTATTTAGGAAGAAAGGGGGAAGGCAGGTGGAAGACAACAGCAAGGAAAGAAAATGACTCTTCAAGGAAATGCTAATATGTAACATGGGCATTGGTATTTTTTTCACCTAAAAGGCCCCTGTGTAGATTATAATAATACAAATTAAAGATTTAGTGTCTTGATTAGTATAATACCTAAGTGCTAAATCCCATTAGTTTGCACTTTTTTAAGTTTAAACTGCTAACCCTTTCCATGATTAATTTTCAACTTATATGGTAAAAGTCCATCACAGCCAAATGCAAGGATCCCCACGGAGAGGGGTGAATGAGTCAGGCCACAGGCTGTTTATGAAATAATTCCCTGATAACTTACCATCAAGGAATGATTACCATTCACAAATAAGGAGCCAGATTTTGACTACCTAGATAAAAGTCAGAGCCTGCTAAAACGGGCAAGTATTCTTTTGTGCCTCAAAAGAAGGCATGGACCAGCTTCCCAAAACTTGTAAAAGAGAAGACCATAGTGTCCTTTCCTTCCATGGATTAATCCCTCACCAGTTATAGCAGTGGAAGTTGTTCTAGTTGATGTGAAAGAGCCACTTGTAGGCATGGTATCAGGAAGCAGTATGGAGAAACACACTCTGCTGCAACGGCTGTCACT